TCCTTCTTTTTGGGAGTCATTGGTATGTTCCTTTAGGCAGGAGGAGAAGCCCAATGGCTCCTGATGAGTTTCCTTTTTATTTTCAAGGGTTTTGGGGAAGGAATGGGGGCATCTTGCATCTCTGGGCTCCAGGAGCCCAAAAGGTGCAAGATGGGTATATGGACAGGCCCCCATGTACTCCCAGGACTTCCCATGGGCCTGTTCACACAGGGCCCATAGCTCATTACACCCAGGCCTTTCACAAAGACACGTGTCTTATGGGCTATAAAATTAATTTGGGATAAAGCAGGTTTTTCCTGCTTTGTCTCGAATTAATCCTCCTTTACTGAAGGCATCATTTGGTCACCTCCAGTAAAAATGTGGAGGGGCCCCCCTTGGCTTGTACTCAGGTGAGGTTCCTGGCGGGAAGGTGTGGGGCTGAAAAAAGGGCTTCTTTCAGTCCCACGCCTTCCTGCCAGGGCCCTCATCTCTCCGCACAGCAACCCAGCTCTTCTTTCGCTCCTCACCTTTCTCTTCTCCTGTCTTGCCCTACGCGTGCTTTTCCCTCCTCCCTCACCATATGCACCTTCCTTTCCTTCTTCTCCCCCCCCCCCCGCATCTTTCCCTCCTTCTCCCTCACCCCACGTGTGCTTTTCACTCTGACTCCCTTCCCCCCCACGCACCTTTCTTCCCTTCTCCCTCGTCTCGCGCACGCTTTTCCTCCATCTCCTTCATCCCCCGCACCCCTTTCTTTCTTTGCTTCTCCCTTGCCCTGCATGCACCTTTCCCTCTGTCTCCCTCACCTCCCATGCACCTTTCTTTCCTTCTCTCTCATCCTGTGTGTGCCCTTCCCACCCCAGTCTGCCCTACTTTTCCAGCTACCCCCTTTCCACCTCATTTTCCCACTTTTTCAACCATCCCTATCCATTCCAACCTTTTCCCATTTCCAGTCCTTCTTTCCCATGCCCTTCCCAAGCCAGTCTTTCCCACTTTTCCTTATTCATATACACACAACATTTTACTCAAAATGTATATCATAGTTAAAATAATCTATGGTGATGACTAGATTGTTGTTGTTACATTTATATTTTACTCTATGTATTATTGTTATTATTACATGTATTATGTTACTCTATTTTTTATTGGAAGGATATGTAAGCACATTTACATTGAAGAAGGTTAGAATAATGATTTAATCAGAGTCTTATCTTACATTACAGTTTTATTTTAATATTCAAAAATATTTAATCTACTGATGCCTCAGTTAATGAGATTTTATTGGCATCTATTTTTATTTTTATTTTTGAAATTTTAAGTAGCTGCTGCAGTAGCTGCTGCATTCCCCACCTTCAGCTAATACTTGAGGCAGTACGTTTTCCCAGTTTTTTGTGGTAAAATTAGGTACCTCGACTTATATTTGGGTTCACTTGTACTCGAGTATATATGGTAGTTGACATTGTAGTTACATTCTCAAAAAATATATAACTCATTCCTTTCTTTTTAGTCAAATGAATCTATAGCACAGCTCAATTTAAAAAAATTCATGATGTCTTGGTGTTTAGGGGTTATTTGGGGCACTGATTCAAAAACAATCAGCTCTAATTTCTTAGATATACTTATCATGGCTTTCTGTGGGCAAGCAGAGGGCAACTAGTATATGGCATATGTATCTCAAAAACTAGAACTGATAGGGGAATATTGGTGTCATTTTTGGAATCGGCAGGTCAAATATATCCTGAAACCACATTTTTTGCACTATAAGGTAATGAAATACACTGCTGTTAACACGAACAGCTCATGAGCAGCAGGGGTATCCTCTTCCACTGCTTTAGAGTGAGCCTCTCTCCCCATTCTATGAACCATCACAAGCTCTTAGCAATTGAAACATCACTGCATTGTAGTGGTCTTTAATGACATAGTTTAAGCATTGGCACCATTACAACACAATGTGTTTAAAATAAATGCAAATACATACTTAAAATATCCATAATGATATTTTAAAGTGCTGTTAACAAAGCAACCCATGAATGAGGAACGGATCATCTAAAGAAGGGAAATGATGGATGCATAGTACAATGCAAACCTGGCATGGGATTCTTGACCTTGTTTCCACAGAAGGTGGAAGTTCATAGCCTTGGCTTCACAATTCGTTTTCTTTGGAAGAAAGATCAGTGTTCTGGAAAATAATCCACCCTGATCAGATATTGTAAAAGTGCAGTAGCATTTACTAAAGCCGTGTTGATTTTGCAGGTAAACCGAAGTTTAATAAACAGCAAACCAAATGCACATCACAGCAGCTAATTCATGTCCAAAGCAAAATGTGTGACAAGATCGTTCTTGCAAATTCAGTGTTCCGGATTGAGTGGCAACTGAACATTATAAGGGTTTGTTTACATCAGCTCCCCACTATTTATTCCTTTTCTGTCCTTTTGGATTAGTAAACTCATCTTGTATTTGCGATAGCTTCCATCACTGATTTTTCCACAATGGAAAACGGTGTCCATTTCAATGTGAGTAAATATGACCGAGGCAATAAAAACATTCTGGGGGATTGCCATATCATAAAGCAAGCTCAGAATGGTGCTGATTGGAATCTTGCATTACTGGTAAATTTGCACATAGCCACATAATAAAACCGGTATTGGACGAGCAATAGACTTGAGAGTTTACTTTAATATCTTTAAACATGTCCAAGAAGCAATAAACCAGTGTGACATGGCATTTCCTCTTACTCTTTGTCCTCTTAACCATTGGTAGGTTTGCACTGCAAACTGGGCAAAGTGAAAACAAATGAATGCTGCAACACCTATGTGCATTGCAATTTCCAATTATTTCAGACTACTGATCATAAAGCAAACAAAATTAAGGGCTTGAGAGAGCATGTCTGTAGATCCCATGGCTTCATTCTCCCAGAAGCAATAACTCTATGATAGTTCAGCTTTTCAGATTATGAGGGTAGGCTGCCATAACTGAATATTCAGTACAGAAAACAAAGGATGAAGGATGATACTCCTATGCATAATCTTTCTGCAACATGTTAATTTTCTGTGGCCAAGGATTTTCCAAAGATTATCCTCAAACCAGCATAGCCTGTGGCCAACACACTATTCTCTCAGTTACACTATAAAGCAGATCAGCCAACATTATAACATTCTGCCCCCCTTCAGCAGTCTGAAACTATACACAGGTTACCATCAAACTGAGAATCCAGAGGGCTGAAGAAGAGTCAGACAAGGCAGACCAGGAATCTATCTGGTCCAGCAGTCTGATTCCCACTGCACCCCCTACAGGGTTCCTGGAAGCTCACAAGCAGAGTGTGATAGCAGCATCCCTCCTGTGTCATAGGCCACCACCTCCATTTGAAGAATGGTTTCCTGTCTGTCATGAGGAACATGTACAACTATTAAATTAGTAAAGCAGAATATCCATGTCTGGATTTTCTGAGGTCTTACTGGCCAATGAAGGAAAGTATTAGAGGTTTAAAATATGTTAGTCTGGTTCAAATACTACTATAGGTTCATAGGATCACTTTTTTGCAGCTACAGTGACTGCACAGACATAACAGAAAGGGTTGCTCAAGCTCTGATATCAGTGGAAGTTTAATTGTTCAATATCTTAAATAACAGGACCAGAACAAATATTGGAGAGCCAGGTGTGTTTTGATTGACACATTCCATTTCCTCTAGGGCAGCTTATAAACATTCGTAGAATCATAGAATAATACAGTTGGAAGAGACCACATGGGTCATCTAGTCCAGCCCCCTCCTGCCAGGCAGGAAAAGCACAAGCAAAGCGCTTCAATAAATGACCATCCAGCCTCTGTTTATAGTCCTCAAGAGAAGGAAAAAACCTCCACTCATTCCAAGTCAGTGAGTTCAACTTTTGAATAGCTTTTATGGTTAGCAAGTTCTTCCTTATGTTCAGGTGGAATCTCCTTTCCTGTCATTTGAAGCCATGGCTCCCTCTTCCATATGAGAGCCTTTCAAATATTTAATCACGGTGATCATGTCTCCCCTCAACCTTCTGTTCTGCAGCTACTGCAGCTATGATTCCTACTCCTTGTCTTGCCTCAGTTTATGCCCTCACAATATGCCCAACCCTTTGCTTTTTTGCCCACTACCATTCATGCATCTTGTGCCCTTTCCCATTCCCTCTCTTGCCTCACACCCTTGCAATGCCTTTTGGTCTTGCTTCTTACACTCCATTGCCTATATTGCACTCTTTCTTCCTTCCTGCTTGAGAGTCAGGGAAGACTTTTTTTCTTGCAGTGCAATTTTGCAGAAAAGGACCTCCATCTTGTTCTCTCATGTCTAGATATCTGTGTTAGAGATTTACTTTAAAAATGCAAGCTGGTAATCTGGGATAGATGATGGTCCAATTGGGCATCAGGTGGCATGCTTAGAATCCAAGTAAAACCCAGCCGAACTGGGAGTATGGCAATCCTGACCAAACTAGACAGGTATTTAGCTAACCGAGTCAAGGATTTATGTAGTCTAAGGCAATTGGTTATTCTGATGGTCTCTGGACATAACACATCAACCACCTTCCCATAAATCATCTTAGGGAAGCACCATAATTCATTCATAGGGCACCGTTTTCCAGTTTTCCCATCTTACAGACCATTTAAAGGATCTCAACAACCTTTGACATCAGTGTAGCTTGGCTCTGCAAATAGATTTTAAGTAAGTAGTCATCAGTGATGGTAGGGAAGAGGGCTAACAGGGAGACTATATGGTTCCATTGTTCTTATTTCATAGCAGGAAGCATTATAGATCTATGTGGGCTAAGGTTCAGCATGCCTAGTTGCTTTACATGACGATATTTTCCACATAGCCAGGCATGTAAACATTTCTTTGTGAAATGAGCATGATTTGCCACAGCAGTTGTTGTTCTTGATAGAATTATCTCAGAAATGGCACTTGACAGCTGAATGGATAGGGAAGTTCAGGTTGTTTCCTTCTGTGTGGCCTTATCTACAACTTTTTCCATTGCTTATAATTCCATTCCATTTCTTCCTACAGAGTTCTGCTCAATCGCTTTCAGGAAAAGGTTATTCGGTAAGTCATTTTGCACCTAATTCTTTAATTTAATGTCTGTTGCTATTTCACTGTGAAAGTTTACATCTTTTTTATATGTTCACACACATTGAAGGAATACACAGCATAAAAATTATTCTTTGAGAAAAAGTCATGTCTCCCGAACCACTTCTCTGTTTAAGAATGTATTAAATAGTTTATTTTTAGAGGTTCTTGGCTTTGCTGTGTTGCCTTTCAGTTGATGCAAACCATATGGCTAGAAATCCAAAGATCATAGCTGAATATAACACACGGTTGGCTGTATAAATCCAAACCATCCTTTTATTGACCCGTTATTTGCCACATATTTTATATACTTTGTGTGTGTGTGTGTGTGTTTAATGTAAGCTGTAATTTGCTGTAATGTTTGTCCATTAAAAATTGTTCCAGCTTTTCCAACTCTTACAAGAAAAGAGCAAAGAAAGAAACAGTCAAACATGGCAATACTTACTTTAATTGGTTTTGGTCTGAAAGTGCTTTGTGGAGGCATTTTTGGAAGTAAATGAGGTTCTAAACTGCAGGTTGGACTACTATTTCTGTAACAGACTTGCTTCAAAAATATTGAACGGTAATTTAGTGCTACAGATTGGGTCTTGGATTCTCATACTTCTGTCTCGTCATCCAGCATGGTCTGATGTTGGCTTGTTTCAACAAGTAATTGCTTCCTAACCACAATTCTCTCCAGCTTGAATGAAGTAAACTCTGATTCGATTAAATCAGGAAGGGGGTGCCTCCATTCTCCTTATCGGTGCCATACAAAGGAGAGGAAGTGCTACGACTATTCTATAGCATTAAAAAGTCACGTGCTTTCCATTTTATGAGTCACTGCCAGTCACTTAGGTTCCTGGTACTTTTTCAAAAAAGAAAGAAAGAACCAACAGTAGCCAGTGGGCAATAAATATGGTGGCAGTCCTGAGCTCATTGAAGGAAATGTTACTGGTCCCCTTCATCAGATGGCTTTTAAAGTGTTGTCACTTGGAGAAGAGAGAAACCCAGTGGGTAATTAGCAGTTCAGAGATCAAAACGTAGAGAAATCAATCTGTAGCTGTAAAAAAACAAGACAAATCCAAGTTTCCAGAAAAAAAAGAGGCAAAGTGTTCTGGCTGACTGAGGTGTCTTTCAAATGAAGTGAGTGACGGATGCTGCTCCCAGCATCTAGCATTTGCTGCTTGTCTTATCTCGAGCGACTGAGCGGCAGATCTGCCCAGCTCCTCCCCAAACACTCTCACACCGCTGATAGCTCAGAGGGAGGCATGACAGGAAGCCCTGTTGTAAACCATCCTAGGATCAATTTTGACAAAGTGTCAGGATCTTATGCCTTGGACCTGCCATGGGGAAAACTGTGTTGCCTTTTCACTGCTAAACTTTGACAATATACACCTTATGGTTTAGATGTACAAGCAGTCCCCGGGTTACAAACAAAATGTACAGACAGGTACATTTTAAGTGTAATTCCAGCCTATATATATATACACACACACACACACATATACACACACATATATATACTAGCTGTACCCGCCACGTGTTGCTGTGGCCAACCTTCCCTCCCTCTTTCTCTCCTTCCCTCCTTCTTTCCTTCCTTTCTTCTTTTTCTTTCCCTATTTCTCTTATATCTTCCATCTCTACCTGTTTCTTACCTCTCTTTCTTTGCTCTTTGGTTACATTCTTCCTTCCTTCGCTATCTTTCGTTCCTTCTCTCCTTCCTTCCCTCTCTTTTTCCTTTCACTTTTTTATTTCCTTCTCTCCTTCCTTGCTTTTCTATCTTTGTTTCCTTCCTTCCTTTTCCCCCTCCCTCCTTCTCTCCTTCCTTCTTTCCCCCTTTCCCTCCTTCCTTCCTTCTTTCCCTCCTTCTCTCGTTACTTCTTGACTGTCCCATTTAATATTGTATTTATATCTTACATAGAAAGAAGGAAGAAGGAAGGAAGGAAGGAAGGAAGGGAAGGAAAAAGGAAGAAGGAAAAAAGGAGGGAGGGAAAGGGAAAAAAGAAGAAGGAGGGACAGGAAAGAAAGGGGAGGGAAGGAAGGAGGAAGGAAGGAAGAGAGGGGAAGAAAGGAGGGAGGTAAGGAAATTAAGAAAGGGAAAGAAGGAGGAAAGGGAGGGAGGAAAAGAAGGAAAGGAAGGAAAGGAAGAAGGAAGGAGGAACAGGAAGGAAGGGAAGGAGGGAAAGAAGGGAAGGAAGGAGAAAGAAGGAAGAAAAGGAAAAAAAGGAAGGAAGGAAAGGGAGGAAAGAAGGGAAGGGAGTGAGGGAGAGAAGGAAGATCCTTCACTCAAGTACCCTAAAACTTCCTCGCCTCCTCCTCCTCCCCTTCTTCCTTACCTGGGGGTTCTGCCGCTGCCATTCATCCGCCCCTTCCTCTTCCAACAGGGAGAGGAGGAGGAGGAGGCTGCCCTCCTGACATAGCAGGGAAAGAGAAGGGGCTCCATGCGGCAAGCCTCCACCTCCACTCCCATGGTGGCCACTCTCGCTTGTGTGTGTGTGTGTGTGTCTGGCCATGCACGCGCACCTGGCTCCTCATCAGAGGCGGCCCTAGGTAATTTTCAATGGTAAGCAAACAGTATTTTGCCCCCCCCCCCCCCACTAATCACTGATATATATTTTCTGTTCGTCATGGAAGTTCTGTGTGCCCTATTTGGTTCAATTCCATCATTGGTGGAGTTCAGAATGCTCTTTGATTTTAGGTGAACTATACATCCCAGTAACTACAACTCGCATATGTCAAGGTCTATTTTCCTCCAAGAGTGCCCCTGGGCAAAATCAACTATACTGCAAATGCTTAATTTGCGTAATGGTTGAGCCGCCCCTGTTTGCTGACTACTAGATGGCAGGACTACATCTCTTAATAAATGATCATCCACATCTTCAGTGTTGCTCCCAGTTATGTCACAACCAATAATTGAAGGGGCTAATGGTGTTGCTGTAGTAACTGTCAGATGGTCTTGACTTGTTGATGGTCCAGGTAGAGGCTCAGATATTGGTATCTTGTCATCATAGTAATGATCTGATTCAGTCAATTTAGTTGTCTCCATGTTTCTTGTAGCACATGATGGTGAAGTCATTAAAAGCCTTTGCAATGTTTTAGCTTGAGTCTCATCTTCTTTGGAATGCTGCAACTTTTACGATGAAATGCTCCTGATGGCTTTTTTTGCTGGACATTTTCTGTTACCCAAGTACTAACTATGGCTGACTCTGCTTAGCTTCCAAAATCAGAAGGGAGTTGGTACTTTTAGGTCCTAAAATGTATATATCACCCTCAGTTACCAAGAGTAAAATAAATACAAATTACAACTTTAGAAAACAAGAGACAATACAAAGAAACACTAATTGGAAACATTCATTTAAAAAAGACTGAGGGTTTTCTTTCTAAGACATTGTGTAGCATATGATATTAGTCAACCCTGACTTCCAAAAAACAAACAATCCCCCTTTCAGATAACCCAGGAATTGCCTTTTTTTCCTGTTTTTGAAAAACTGGGAATAAGAAGAGGAGAGGGCAAGCGTTAGGACCCCTCTGACCTCAGCCAGGGAAGAGGGAGACAAGCAGACACACTTTAATCACTTTAACAACCTCACTAAACTACAAACCCCAGAATTCTGCAGGAGGCAGCAACCCTCCCCTGTGGGGAGTGGGTGGTGGTGGTATGAAACAGAAGCTGAATGGTCATTTAGATCCAGGGAAGTCATGCTACCCCTTCTATTATATTCTGACTTGGTCAGACCACACCTGGAATCAAACTGTGTTCAATTCTGGGCACTGCAATTGAAGGGAGATGTTGACAAGCTGCAAGGTGTCCAGAGGAGGGCGACTAAAATGATCAAGGGTCTGGAGAACAAGCCCTATGAGGAGTGGCTTAAGGAGCTGGGCATGTTTAGCCTGAAGAAGAGAAGGCTGAGGGGAAATATGATAGCCATGTATAAATATGTGAGAGGAAGCCACAGGGAGGGGGGAGCAAGCTTGTTTTCTGCTGTCCTGGAGACTAAGATGTGGAACAATGGCTTCAAACTACATGAAACCACCTGAATATGAGGAAGAATTTCCTAACTGTGAGAGCTGTTCAGCAGTGGAACTCTCTGCCCTGGAGTGTGGTGAAAGCTCCTTCTTTAGAAACTTTTAAGCAGAGGCTGGATGGCCATCTATCAGGAGTGCTTTGAATGGGATTTCCTGCTTCTTGGAAGGGGCTTGGACTGGATGGCCCATGAGGTCTCTTCCAACTCTATGATTCTATAATTTGTCTGGAGTATTTGGATTGGGTATTCCTTAAAACAGGAATAGGGTTGAACTAGCTGGCTCTTGGAATCCCTTCTAACTGGATCCATGAAAAGAAGTGGATTTAAACATGCTCCCTGCTTCTGATGCCTCAAGAGGTTTAGTGCACATTGTTACGATCCCATTGAAAGGAGAGGATTTAAATACACTCCTTCCTTCTGATGCCTCAAGAGGTTTAGTGTACATTGTTAAGATCCCATTGAAAGGAGTGGATTTGAATACACTCCTTCCTTCTGATGCCTCAAGAGGTTTAGTGCACATTGTTAAGATCCCATTGAAAGGAGTGGATTTAAATACACCCCTTCCTTCTGATGCCTCAAGAGGTTTAGTGCACATTGTTAAGATCCCATTGAAAGGAGTGGATTTAGAATACACTCCTTCCTTCTGATGCCTCAAGAGGTTTAGTGCACATTGTTAAGATCCCATTGAAAGGAGTGGATTTAGATACACTCCTTCCTTCTGATGCCTCAAGAGGTTTAGTGCACATTGTTAAGATCCCATTGAAAGGAGTGGATTTAAATACACCCCTTCCTTCTGATGCCTCAAGAGGTTTAGTGCACATTGTTAAGATCCCATTGAAAGGAGTGGATTTAAATACACTCCTTCCTTCTGATGCCTCAAGAGGTTTAGTGCACATTGTTAAGATCCCATTGAAAGGAGAGGATTTAAATACACTCCTTCCTTCTGATGCCTCAAGAGGTTTAGTGCACATT